GGGCGGGCGGCGAGGAAGGCGCAGCGCAAACCCCAACTTTCCCCCAACTCGCTTCACGCGGGATGATTTATTTGAGTTGGAGCTGACCTCTCTTGTCTCGCTGTCCTAGAGTTGGGATATTTGACAGTAATGAAGAGTGATAGATTGCTCCCGCTCAGCTAAGCAGCTGATGCATTAATTATAAATTGCGCTATGGCTAATATAAAGTTTGCTCCGGCGTGGGGAGGTTGGGGAGCTGGAGGCAATAATTTGGTGGAGGTGGCCGAGGGGGACGCAGCTCCGGGCGCTCAGCAGTGCAGCACAATGGGTTTGCTGCATCCAAAGGCGGCCATTTTGTTGCAGTTGCTATTTTATGCTATGTAGACCTATAGATGTGGAGGCACATACGCAAGGAGAGATGGAGAGAGTGCTCCCTCCCCGGCCCGGGATGCAACGGGCTAGGATGCTGAAATTCGTCCTGTGCATTTATCTGTTTTGTGCGTGTGCGTGTGTGCCTGTGTGAGGTTTGGCTTCTGCTTCTCTGGCGGTGGTGCTCTGGGGTGTGTGGTGGTAGTGGTTTTCTTTTTCTTCTTCTTCTTGTTTTTTTTTTTCTTTTTTTCTTTTTTTTTTCTTTTTTTTTTAACAGACCCCCTTGAAATCCCCGATAGTGGTAACGGAGGATCTAGGCGCCTGAGGACGGCTTACACCAACACGCAGCTTTTGGAGCTAGAGAAGGAATTTCATTTCAACAAGTATCTCTGTAGACCAAGGAGGGTTGAGATTGCAGCTTTGCTGGATCTGACCGAGAGACAAGTCAAAGTCTGGTTCCAGAACAGGAGGATGAAGCACAAGAGACAGACCCAGTGCAAGGAGAACCAAAACGGTGAGGGAAAATTTAAGAGCTTAGAGGATCCGGAGAAAGCGACAGAAGAAGAAGAGGAGGAGAAATCGCTCTTTGAGCAAGCCCTCAGCAACGTCTCCGGCGCCCTTTTGGAGAGGGAAGGTTACTCTTTCCAGCAGAATGCACTGGCTCAGCAGCAGGCTCCCAATGTGCACAATGGAGAGTCCCAAAGTTTTCCCGTTTCGCCTTTAACGAGCAATGAGAAAAATCTGAAACATTTTCAACATCAGTCACCCACTGTTCAAAACTGCCTCTCAACAATGGCCCAGAACTGTGCAGCTGGCCTAAACAATGACAGTCCTGAGGCCCTAGATGTCCCTTCTTTACAGGACTTTAGCGTTTTCTCGGCAGATTCCTGCCTACAGCTTTCAGATGCAGTTTCCCCCAGTTTACCAGGATCTCTGGACAGTCCCGTAGATATTTCCACTGACAGTTTTGACTTTTTTACAGACACACTCACCACTATTGACTTGCAGCATCTGAATTACTGAAAAATTAAAGACGTCCTCTCAAGGGTCCTGCCTTCTCCTCCTTATTGCTCTTCTTTATTTTTGTCAGTGAATTAATTTTATTTTCTCCCCTTCCCCCCACTTTCCCGGTCAGTGTTTTCTGTTTATTGCCTCCCTTTGCTGTGTTCGAGAACCATTTTTGCGTTTCTTATGAAGTTTTAGTTGTGTTCAGTTTTAACCTAGCCACATTCTAGGTCCTCCTATGAAAGCAATATATGAGGTCTGTAAGAAAGTGATCATATAGGAATTGTATCTTCACTTTCTTTTTATTTTTGTATGACATTAGAATGCGTTGTCATAAGTATTTTTGGTAGAATAAATTCTTGTTTGCTACAAGGAGCTTTCTCTTTTTTCTTTCTCTCTTTAATCTCTCCTTTCAAGATGGTAACATCACGGGTATTTCTTCCCCCTCTTTTCTATTATTAATTTACTAATAACCCAAATCCAACATTCTCACTCTGATCTCTCTGCTTTTTGGCAATTTAGTATATTTATTAGAGAGGGAAAAAAAAGCACGTTCGAATTATTTATTGCAAAGCTGCTCACAAGAAAGAAAACAAACTAAAACCATTCACAACCTAGATGACTACTTCTTCCTTTAATGTGTAAATGTAGCATGTTATCTCTGTGTCGATACAAAGCGTGGATATTCTGAACTCCAAGGAAAGCAAAAACGTGCGTTTTTTTTTTGGTAGTTGTTGCAAACAAACATTACCTAGAGTCAGTAGGAAAAGTGCTTCCTGCAGATACTAGCTTGTTACATACACGAAGGGCTCTTTTAGAAAACAAACCGAAACAAAATTATCCACCATTTTAAAGTATTTTTCAGGAAGCGTGTCTTAAAAAAATATAAAAGCTCACAGAGAACGCTTTTGGTTTTTGCTCACGTGCTAAGCGGTCCAAGAAAAGAGCCCTAAAGGAGAGGGGGAAAAAGTTATTGAATTAAAAATATAAACGTGGCATTATAAAAAAATGGGGAGAAGCGCGGCTTCCCCTTGATTCTTTTGAGGGCTAGTGCGGGGACAGAGCGCAGGGTATTTTCTCTCTCACGCCGATTGCATTAGAGATAACGAAAAGGGGGGACTCTTACTTTCCGAGAGAAAATTTCCTCAGGGCTCGCCATCTCTTTGCTTGAGATGAGCATGAAAAACGAAGAAGAGCATTGAAAAAAAAATAAAAAATAAATAAAACATAAAATCCGCATGAAATCCTGCACGGGGGCCGAGCGGCGCTGCCGGAGCGCGGTGCGCAGGGCGAGCCGCGTCTGGGGGCTAACGCCGAGCAACAGATGCGAGCCGGGGGCGAGCAGGCCCCAGGGG